AAAAATCAAAACGTCAGCCTTCCTGCTCCTCTGATGCTGCTTGGCCTGCTGTGTTCATCCAGCTCTACACCTTGTTATCTCAGATTCTCCAACATCTGCAGTTCCTACTATCTCTTAATAAATTTTTAGCTTTGTTAGGCAAGAATATTAAGGGAACTAAGGAAGAAAGATAGAGATTAGCCAAGATGAGAAACCAGCTCAAGGGGTGGATGGCCAACCGCTGATCTTATTCTCTCATATCTGGTCTGTTATACCACTGCTCATTTCTGGGCACACTATGTGAGTTACACAATTGGGAATGTGTCCTGAAGCCTGATACACCAGCTGCACTTCAATGGACAGAGCAGAGAAGGGGTCTGGTCATTACTGCCTTTAATGGTCACTGCAATCCTGATCATTTTCCATGTGCTCATTCACTAGTGGTGACTAGGTTGCAATGAAGGTCATGAACATGGTCTGATTGCTTTGGACCAAGAATAGGCCAATCAACTGCTCGAACCCTGTCCTACCAATTTAGATTACCATGCACATCTCCATTGACCTACCTTAACTGCATAGCCCTCACTTAGCCCCCATGAAAATCTCTAACTTGTGTTCAATCCAACAGCCAGACAGGGACACAGTTCCAGATTTCCATCACCATTTATGTGAAGATGGCTTTCTGCCATCAGTCCGAAACAGCCTAGTTCTATTTCTCAACTTATTCCCCTTAATATGAACTCCCTAACCAGAGAGAAAAAGTTCTCTCTAACTGCCCTATCAAGGTTTTTCAGCATTCTAAATGCCTCAATTAGATTGGTCCTGAATCTCAAAGGAATGTAAACCTATGCAATCTGTCCTCATTATCTAACCGTGGGCTCCGTTCTGATGAGTTTGTACTGTGGTCTCTCTGGGGACAATATAACCTTCTTAAGATTTGATTCTATTTTATGTCCATTCTCCTTAAGGCACATTATGGCTAACTGTGACATTCCCATCATTGTCCCAGCTGTGATTCAGTGCTGAGTGGGAATTAATCCTGTGGTCTGGTGTTGTATCTGGGTCTACACTATAACTGTTGGTGCCTTCACCAGGGCTGTTATTGGATTCATGCTGGTTTGTTGTACTTTGTGTGGAGGCTGGGCTTGGTGGGAGGCACCCTGATGTAGTAAGCCCTGCCAAACCTCCCAAAGTTCATGGGTGAAAGCCCAAGACCAAACAGGACTGGTGAAAATCTTTCTCCAGATATAGGTAAAAAAAGGGATGAAATGCCTGGGTTTAGGGCTCTGCAGTGGGCTGGGAGCCACCAGACAGGCTTACATTCACTGTGCACCGGGGTGGGGGATGCAGGGGATATACCTAGTGATGTCAGTTATCCTTGGGCAGGTCCTCAGTCTGTGTCAGAGTGCACAAATACCTGACTTAGGGAGTGCTCCCCACTTTCCCTTCCATTTCATGACCTTGTTGGGGTGGCTGAAGTCACCACCCACCCTGACCTGCACTGGCAAGGTGCAGCTAAGGCCAATGTTTTGGAATGACAATTGGATTCCAGTAGATTGGCACAGATTGCTGGTGCTGCCATAGCCACCCGTCTTATTGCGGCTGAGTATAAATCAAAGACCCCACATCCTCCCTCCCGTTATATTATAAATTATTCAGCAAGCAAGGAAGTGAACTCACAGCTTGTCCCACATTCCTGCTGTTGCTTTGTGATGTGAACCAATAGCAGAGAGTCAAGGGTAACCTGAGAGAGTTTCCCTATCTGCTCCTAACTGGTGAAATGGGTGACAGCAGTAGCCAATAATGTGAGAAGTGAGACAAAGGTGCCTCTGCTCTGCAGTTATGCTGACTACCCACCAAAAGCATGAACAGAAAGCACCAGTCTCCCAACTGGGGAGCTAGGGGCCCTCAGTACTCTGTGTCAGGTTGGATTCTCTATAGCCAGTGTGACAATGTAAACTTCAGAACTTTATTAACTTCATGGATTGAAAGAAATAGCTACAATTCTTTCTGGAATAAAGTGTTCCTAGAGATGAATGTGACGGAAAAACTGTTACAAAAGAATGAAAAACAACATGTGAATTAACCATCTCTGAGAAGAAGCAACATAAACAATCTGTTTTCTGGGAGAGAGGAGATAACAACTGCTTGATAAGCTGCTGCCTCATGACAAATAGACAATTAAGTTTGCAGAATGAATGTTCTGAAATAAAGGGGCCAGTTGCAGGAAAACCTGCATTTTAAACAAACAGCCATCCCTGAATGTAAGAAGGAACAGGGGAGCTACTTCTGATAAGAAGGCAAGCTACAGACTTGAGGTCTTCAAGAGTATAATCAATGTTGGGGATGAAAGAATTTATTGAATCATCAATAATGTCACACTGCAAACTTGAAAGAGAGAAAAGTCAGCAGCAGAACTTTGAAGATCAATACTGCACAAGGGTTGAACACTGGACACTTCCAGAGACAGATATTGTTGGATAAATCCTGGTCAGATTCCATAATTAGACAGGTAATATCCAAGTTGAATTGTGAGGCTTAACTTGCTTACTTGAGGGATCTTATTTTGGTTGCTACATGCAATAAAGTTTAAATCATTGTTTCAGTATTTGTATGTCTGTGAGATATCTTTATAAGTAGCCAAATTAAAGGTAGCTTGTGGTCATTTACCCACAACACCAGAGAGATGCACGCACTTATTGAGGTCCCTGGGGTTGTGGAACAGGTAGCATCCAGCTTGCTCGTATCCAATAACCTGAAGAAAGTCTCTGAGATGGGGCTGACTCCAAAGGCTTGCCACCTCTTTCTCCATCAGTTTAGGGCACACAGTGGGTGGTGACTGACACTTTTCCAGCTGCAACAGAACAAAGAGCAGCAGGGTAACCATTGATCATCAAATAGATTGAGTGGGACATCAATAATCTGCTCCGAGTTGTCTCGCTGTTTTGGTGAGAGGCATTCTCTTCACACGATTGGAATGAAGATCATGGCCTCTGGGAGACTTGCTGAGCAGATATCAGAGAAGCAGATGAGCCATTCCACACTCTGCCTTATACTTCTGCATCATATCAACCCAGCACCTTCAGGTAGCTCTTTTTAAACTAAGGGTGGACCCTAACCTGTTCCTTGAGATCAGAACTGGATCTCTGGATTAATAGTTGAGTGATAATATCACTAAGCTATCACCTCCCCATATATAAAGAAGTGTTCACACCTCCTGCTCACAAATCTCATTTCCTGGCAGCATCATATTTGTCATTATTTGTTATGTTGACCACTATTTATCTCTTATCTAGAACCAGGGTTGCCATTTAAAAACAAAGGGATTAATCATTAAAGACAGACATAAAAATAATCTTTTTTTCTCACAGAGGGTCATGAAACTTTGGAACGCTCTTCTTTGTTAGGATGGGGAAGCAAGTGTCCTTGAATCTACTTAGGGCAAGGGTAGATAAATTCTTGATAAGCAAGGGGGATGAAACGTTAATGAGCGTAGAGAGGAAGTCTGGGGTAATCTGATAGCCATGATCTTATTAAATGGAGGATAGACCTGAGGGGAAGAGTGGCCTACTCCTGCTCCTATTTCACAGGTTTGTATGCAAATTGCAATGTCAACATGTCCAATTTAATATTTCCCATCACAACTCCCATGATGTAGCATGAAGATCTGGTCACCAAATGGTGCTCTGGATTGAATATCACAAAAACAAGCTACATCTGACCTATAGATTCAGGCACCCAACATCTCGTGTCCCTAAATATCTGACCCCACTCCTGCACAACCCCTCAGATATCCAACACCGCGTGTCCCTCAACATTTGACCCCATCCCCTGCACGACCCCTCAGATATCCAATTCCTATCCAAAACATCCAATCCCCCAACACCTGACCCATTCCTTTTGGACCTGGCCATCCTGTGCCAAAACTTGTCCATCACTGCACCACTTACCCTCAATATCCGACTAAACAGCCCTGACCCCATCCCAAAGGGACAGCAGACTGACTCATCCTGAGCCCTGACAATAGACTACCACCCCCCTCCCAGAATAACTCCCCATGACACCTGACCCATCCATCCCCCTCAGTTACTTACCACCCTACCCCCTTATTCACTGGCCATCCTCCCCTTTACCCACCTACCCACCCTACCCCCATCCATCTGCCACCCTATTCCCTTACACACCTGCCACCCTCCCCCTTAACCACCTATCACCCTACTCCCTTATTCAGTTGCCACTGTCTCCCTTACCTACCTGCCATCCTCCCCCTTACCCATCTACCATCCTACACCTCTTACCCACCTGCCACCCTCCCCCTTGCCTGCCTATCTCCCTTATCCACCTGCCAACCTACCCCCTAACCCATCTGCCACCCATCCCTGTTATTCAATCAGTTCTATCAAACCTCACCAAAGAGGAAGCAGAGGCCCATCAGAACCTTCACAGTCCACCGAGGAATAAGCAGTCCATACCAGCTGTGCCAGCAATCACCAAATCACAAGAAGAAACTTTAAAAAAAAGTGACCCCCTTGAGACATTTTGGCTCCTGAAACAAAAACAGAAATTGCTGGAGAAACCCAGCAGATGTGCCAGCAACTGTGGAGAGAAAGCAGAGTTAATGTTTCGTGTCTGATGACCCTTCTTCAGTTCTGTTTCAGATTTCTAGCACCTGTAGTTCTTGGTTTTATTTATTACCCAACATGTCCTCTTTTTCTCAGAGTGTTAGGGCTCAGCATTGGAGCAGGTTGAAACCCTGGATGCAAGTCTGTTTCCAGGAGACCAGGCGTCAGCAGTAGTTACAGTTCTGCCCTGATGCAGGACACTTTTAGGAGTAAGTCTGCTCCAGGGATCATATCTGGGAAAAGGTTAAGTCTGAAACACATGTGGGTTCAGGCTACTGCAGGTGAACGCACTCAGGGCTCACAGGAAGACCATACCAAATAACCAAAGCTTCAAGAGTCTGTGGTAACACACAGGCTTCAAGTCAAAACTAACTAGCCATGTACTCCTCATGATTAATGAGCAACTTATATGTTCACTGAGGAACCTCAGATCTTGTTGGAAAGGATTCCAAGAGCTCCATATTCAAGAAACATAAATGTAATCAGTTTCTCAAGACAATTAACCTATGTAAAGTAATATTTTTAACTTGTAACTTCTGTTTCATTCCATTTGTACGCAACACAAATACTTGTAATTTTACCACTCATAGCTGTCTCAAGTAACTTATTGAAGTTAAATGTGTCTTTGGAATTATCTTCCTCAGAGAGCAATGGAGGCTGGGTCATTGATCGTCAAGGCTGAGTTAGTCAGATTTTTGATTAGCAAGGGATTCAAGGGTTATGGGGGTTATGGAACCTGGGGTCACAGTCAGGGTAGCCATGATCCTCTCAAGAGACACAGAGAAAGTTTGCGGGGTTGGGGGGGGTATCAAATAGCTTTATACTGCTCATAATTTTTGTGTTCTTGTATGTCCAAAAAGCATTAGGGATGGGCAACAAATGCTAGCCTTATCAATGAAAGAATAAGAAAACAATCTTGATCAGATCATAAATCTCACATTACCTCTAAGCTTCTTGTTGTCTAAAGTAAAGGGTAATATCTCTAAGAAGTGTCATCACAGCTAAGAACTGATCCACTCCTGCCAGATTTATACCCTGCTGAAGACAAATTCCAGTCTTTGGGTATTGGCTATTTTACTCTGATCTGAAGCCTCCAAAGGACACTGCCTTTCAAAAGAACAAAACAGAAGTACAGTCCAGGAACAGGCCCTTCAACCCTCCAAGCCTGTGCCGATCTTCATGCCCTGACTAAAGTAAAAAACAAACCTTCTGCCCTTATTCGGTCCATATCCCTCTATTCCCTCCCTATTCATGTAACCATCCAGATGCCTCTTAAATGTCGCCAATGTGCCTGCTTCTATCACCTCCTCTGGCAGTGCATTCCAGGCTCCTATCACTCTATACATGAAAAACTTCCCCCAGAAAACCTCCCTTAAACTTTACCCCTGTCACCTTGAACCTGTGCCCCCTTGTAATTGAAACCTCAATCCTGGGAAAAGGCATCTGACTACCACCCTATCTATACCTCTCACAATTTTGTAGACCTCTGTCAGGTCTCCTCTCAGCCATCATCTTTCCACTGAAAACAATCCTAGTCTTTTTAACCTTTCCTCATTGTCAATGCCTTCAAGACCAGGCAACATCCTGGTGAACCTTCTTCACACTCTCTTCAAAGCTTCCATGTCCTTCAGATAGTGTGGCAACTAAAACTGCACACAATACTCCAAGTGCAGCCTAGAAAGGGTTTTAGAGAGCTGCAACATGATTTGCCAACTCTTGTATTCCATGCCCCGGCCAATGAAGGCAAGCATCCCAATATGCCTTCTAAATCACTTTTGCCACCTGTGTTGCCACTTTTAGGGAACTGTGGACCTGCACACCCAGATCCATCTGTATGTTAACGTTCCTAAGGCTTCTGCCATTCACACCTAAATTTGATCCTCCAAAATGCATCATCTTGCATTTGTTTGGATTAAACTCCATCTGCCATTTCTGTGCCCAAATCACCAATCTATATCCTGTTGCATTCTTTCACAATTGTCGGCACTATCAGCAACTCCACCAATCTTTGTGTCATCTGCAAACTTACTAATCAGACCACCCACATTTTCCTCCAGATCATTTATACATACTACAAACAGAGGACCCAAGACTGATCCCTGTGGAACATCACTAGTTACCAGTCTCCATTCTGAAAAACATCCTTCCACCGCTACCCCCTGACTTCTATGACTAAGCCAGTTTTGTATCCATCTAACCAGTAAACCCCAAATCGAATGTGATTTTAGTTTTTGGACCAATCTGCCATGTGGGACTTTATCAAATGGTTTACTAAAGTCCATGTAAACTACATCCACAGCCCTTCCCTCATCAATTATCTTTGTCACCTCTTCAAAAAATTCAGTCAGGATGGTGAGACACGACCTTCCCCATACAAAACCATGCTGCCTGTCACTAACTAGTCCATTTTCTTCCAAATGTGCATATATCTTGTCCCTCAGTATCTTCTCCAAGAGCTTCCCCGCCACAGACATCAGGCTCACATGCCTATAATTTCCTGGATTATCCCTGCTTCCTTTCTTAAACAAGAGAACAACATTGGCTAATCTCCAGTCCTCTGGAACCTTGCCTGTGGTCAAAGAGCTATTTCTTCTCTTGCCTCTCGCACAAACCAGGGATAGGTCCCTACTGGCCCTGGGGACTTGTCTATCTTAATGCAATTTAGGATATCCAAAACTTCCTCCTTCAATATACTGATATTCTCATTTCAGATGGATTTTTCATCAACTGGAAACAGTTATTCTCCACTTGAACAAATGTAGGAGGGAGAGAAAAGAACATAAAATAAGATCTGTGTTTGGATCAATGTCAGGACTAATTAAATGATTCACACACTCATCCCTGACCTCAACATCAGTCATGTCCTTCTCCTCGGTGAATACCAATACAAAGTACTCATTAAGGATCTCTCCCACTTCCTGTTGTTCCATACATCACTTCCCTTGTCTTTGAGTGGGCCTACTCTGTCCCTTGCTACCCTATTTCTTCTAATGTATGTATAAAAATCCTTGGGATTCTCCTTGACCCTGTTTGCTAAAGACATTTCATGGCTCCTTTTAGCCTTCATAAATCTGTGTTTAAGTTCCTTCCTAATTTCTCTATACTCTTCAAAGGTTTCATCCATTTGTAGCTGCCTAAAGCTGTTGTATGCTTCCTTTTCCCTTTTGACTAAGCTTATAATTTCCCATGTCGTCCATGGTTGCTAGATCCTGCCATTCCCATCCTTCAGTGT